AACAACAAGGAAAGCTTAGAACCAGACCGGAAACGGTCAGCAGGGATTCACATATACCTTACTAGGTAGGACACAGAGATTAGATACTCCTCATTGGGGAAAGGAAGATTTCTCTGCACACCGCTTCTAAAACAGTTCTACAGCTCAACTGTTGACATATGCCTTGCTAGGGTTACAAGCCAGTTTGGACTGTCCTAAAATCTGCCAAGCTCAGTGAAATTATGCTTCAACGCTATAGACTGCTAAATACTAAAATGAGGATAGACACGAGACAGCTGAATAGTACCCTATAGCCATTTTAAGGTGTATAGAAGCTGGTTGTATATAAACTAAAATCGAAATGTCAATGAGATAGTCTCAGGATGTGGTTAAGAACTTGTATTTTTTTTAACATATTGGTTACTCAATACCATGACAATTAATTCCATAATGTTGTAAACTGTTGTTGATGTTATGTTGGGGCTTTTAATTGATCAGGATGATATTCTGCCAGCTCTACATACAAACCTGAGATGATCTCCCCAAGAAACCGTTGAATGATCTGGACAATTAGATGCTGGACTCCTTGCTTGGTATATGCTTGCAATAAAAGAATCTCAACTGAATTTGATCTGCAGTACTGAAACAAGGTGGAGGAATCCACCATGGAGGGAGGGTATGGGGAGGGGTTGGGGGAATCCCAGAGCCTATGAAACTGTGTCACATAATGCAGTGTAATTAATACATTTTTTAAAAAGAGGAAAAAAAAGATTTATTTTTATGACAAAGTCAGATATACAGAGAGGAGGAGAAACAGAGAGGAAGATCTTCTGTCCAATGGTTCACTCCCCAAGTGACTCTAATGGCTGGTGTTGAGCCAATCCGAAGAGCCAGGAACTTTCTCCAGGTCTCCCACATGGATGCAGGATCCCAAGGCTTTAAGTTGTCTTCGACTGCATTCCCAGGCCACAAGCAGGAGCTGGAATGGAAATGGGGCTGCTGGGATTAGAACTGGTGTCCATATGGGATCCCAGTGTGTTCAAGGCAAGGACTTTAGCCCCTAGGCCACTGCACCGGGCCCTGCTTTTTTTTTTTTTCTAACAGCATAATTTTGTAAGTTGAAGACTATTTGGTAAATCAAAAACATTAAAATAATTTTATTATATAAATAGTCAGAAAACATTTGAGGAGATATCTCATTGTGATTTTGATTTGCATTTTCCTGATAGCTACTGATGTTGAGCTTTTTCATCTATTTACTGATCATTTGTATTGCTTCTTTTGAGAACTAGGTTGAGGTCCTTTGCCCACTTCTTAACTGAATTGGTGGTTGTTTGTTGAGTTTTTGCTTTGTTTTGTTTGAAAAAGATTTATTTTTGTTGGAAGGTCAGATATAGATAGAAGAGGAGAGACAGAGAGGAAGATCTTCCAACCAGTGGTTCATTCCACAAGTGACCACAGCAGCTGGAGCTGAGCCAGTCCAAAGCCAGGAGCTTAGAGCCTCTTCCAACTCTCCCATGGCTTTGGACCATCCCAAGGCTTTGGGCCATCCTCAGCTGCTTTCTCAGGCTGCAAACAGGGAGCTGAAAGGGAAGTGGGACTGCCGGGATCGGAACTGGTACCCGTATGGGATCCCAATGCTTTCAAGGCAAGGACTTTAGCTACTAGGTTACCACCCGGGACCCTGTTTGTTGAGTTTTTGAGTTGCTGGTATGTTCTTGTTACTAATGCTTTTTCAGGTAGTTTGTGTATATTTTTTCCCATTCTATTGGATGTCTTCTTTGTTGTTGTCTTTGATGTGGTGAAAGTGAAATCTTCTACACTGCTGGTGGGAATGTAAATCAGTACAGCCACTGTAGAAAACAGTATGGAGTTTTCATGAAACTCTAGACACCAACTTGCTTTGTAAAACAACACTCCCATTACTGGATAGGTACCAGATGTCATGAGCATGTTGTATCCAAGAGATAACCTGCACCACCATGCTTAGTTCACAATAGCCAACATATGGCTTCAACAAGGGTGTCCATCATCAGATGACTGGATAAGGAAAATGTGCTCTCTCTCGCTCTCTATCTATCTATATATATGATGTATACATGCTCATAATAACACATATATACGTATTACTCAGCTACAAAAAATGAAAATCAGCAATTTGTATCAAAATGGCTACAATTAGAGGGTATCATGTTATATCAAATAAGATGGACACAGACACATACTGCATAGTCTCCCTTATATGTGAAATCAAAACTTTTTTAAAATTTCAAAAACCAAAAACAAACAACAAAAAATACCTATGTATCAGCTTTCCTAAAAATGTCATGTTTTGTCAAACTTTAAGTCTTTGTCAAACATATTGTTAAAAGTGATTTATTACTACAATCTTAATGATCTGTGACTATTTTAAATTTTACTGTGCGAATGAAAATAGAAATCATTTAATTGTTGTTTATAGTCTTTGAGTAAATTCCTGCTGAACGATGACTTTTGCCTTTTTACTGGTTGAACTCCTTATTTAGTGGAGCATTAAACCTTTGGCTATGATATAAATTAAAAATATGGTATGTCAAAAATGAAACCAAAAACGGGGCTAACACTGGGGTTATAACATGTAAACCGACCACCTCTGACATCAGCATCCCTTATGAGCACTGGTTCAAGACCCAGCTCCTCCACTTCTGATCCAGCTCCCTACTAATGGCCTAGAAAAAGCAGCAGCAGATGGCCCAAGTGTTTGGTCCCCTGCCACTCACGTGAGAAATCTAAATGAAGCTCCTAGCTTTGGCCTGGCCCTGTGCCATCTGTGAAGTAAACCAGCCGTTAAAAAGTTCTGCTTCTCTCTTTGGAACTCTGTAAACTCAAGTAAATAATAAGTAAATTCAAAAAAATAAAATAAACAATTGGAGGATTCTGAAGAACCACTTCCTATGACTATAACATATGTAAGATATGGTTGGCTAGTCATTGGTTTTTGAGAAAATTTAAAGCAATGAACTGTCATTTTAATGTAATTTTTTTCTTAAAGACTTATTTGTTTGTTTATTTGTTTGTTTGAAAGAATTACAGGGCCCGGTGCGGTGGCCTAGGGGCTAATGTCCTTGCCATGAATGTGCCAGAATCTCATATGGGCACTGGTTATAATCCCGGCAGCCCTGCTTTCCATCCAGCTCACTGCTTGTGGCGTGAGAAAGCAGTCAAGGATGGCCCAAAGCCTTGGGAGCCTGCACCCACTTGGGAGACTGGAGAAAGTTCCTGGCTCCTGGCTTCGGATTGGCTCAGCACTAGCCGTTGCAGTCATTTAGGGAGTGAACCATTGGACAGAAGATCTTCCTCTCTGTCTCTCATCCTCTCTATTTATATCTGACTTTGCAATAAAAATAAATAAATCTTAAAAAAAAATTACAGAGAGCGGGAAGCACAGGGAGAGAGCGCGAGATCTTATATCCTCTAGTTTACTCCCTAAATGGTCACAACTGCCAGGCAGATCCAGGCCCAAGTCAGGAGCCAGGAGCCAGTTGCCAGAAGCTTCTAATGGGGCTCCCATGTGGGTCCTGTGACCCCGACACTTGGGCTGTCTTTACTGCTTCCCCAGGTGCATTAGGGCACTGCGTTGGAAGTGGAACAGCCAGGTGCTGAGCCAGTGCCTGTGTGGGATGCTTGCGTCACAGGCGGTGGTGTGAGGCAACCCCGACCCCTCAAAATACTTGTTATGTATAACATAGAGATTTTTTTTTAATTAGCAAATTTTCTTTTGAAAAATAGAAGCTTATTTTCTACATTTAAATTTAAAATACCCAGGCTCGGCGTGGTGGCGCAAGTGGTTAAGGTCCTCGCCTTGCATGCCCCGGGATCCCATATGGGCGCCGGTTCTAATCCCGGCGGCCCTGCTTCCTTTCCAGCTCCCTGCCTGTGGCCCGGGAAAGCAGTCGAGGACAGCCCAGGGCTTTGGGACCCTGCACCTGCGTGGGAGACCCGGAAGAGGCTCCTGGCTTCGGACCGGCATGGTATCGGCCGTTGCACTCACTTGAGGAGTGAATCATCGGATGGAGGATCTTCCTCTCTGTCTCTCCTCTCTGTATATCCGCCTTTCCAATAAAAATAAAATAAATCTTTGAAAAAAAATTTTAAATACCCCCTATTTTTAACATTGTTTTCTAGTTTTTTGTGTTAGAACTGAACAAAATGGTCTAGATATTGATTTTGAAAAAATTAGAGCTAGTAGAGCCTCTTTCTCTATCCTTTGTTTCAAAATGTATCTGATTTATATGAAAGGCAAACTAACAGAAAGAGAGAAATTGGTTGATCTTCTAGAATTAAACTGCTGCCTGTGACACCTCCCATGGGAACACTCATTCCAGTCCTGTCTGCTCTGCTTCCAGTCCAGCTCCCTGTTATGGGCCTGGAAAGCTACTGGCAATGGCCTAAGCCCTTGGGCCACTGCCACCCAGATGGAGCTCTGGGCTGTCAGCTTTGGCCTGGCCCAATCTTGGCTGTTACAGCCATCTGGGAACTAAAGCAATGTATGGAAGAGGTTTTCTCTGTCTCTTCCTTTCTGTTGTTTCACCTTTCAGATAAAATCAATCTTGAAAAACAAGCAAGCAAACAAAAACAGGACCTTCTGTTCACTGGTTCACTCCCCATGTTGCCACAGTGGCTGGGGCTGGGCCAACTCAAAGCTAGGAGGCAGTAACTGTTCCTGGGTCTCCCATGTGGCCCAAGCACTTAGCTCATCTTTCCTGGACAAAGTAGCAGGCAGCTGGTGAACCTTCTCCCGTGTGGAATGCTGGTGTCACAGCACAGGTCTGTCTCCCTCTGTCCTTGACATGATCATTCCAATTTATATCACTTCATTTTCAGCATGTAGGATTGGTTGCTTTTTTCCATGTTGGAAGTTAATAGAGAAGAAGATATCATGCTAAAATATAGTGTCAGTATGATTCAGTAAAATAATCTTTAATATCATACATGCTTAAGAGAAACTAGGAAATAATGTGAATGGTTTTGTCTCTTTCCAGGTCTTCGGATAACTGTGCTGCTGACATCCTTCCTTATGGTTTTGGGAACTGGCCTAAGATGCATACCTATAGCAGACTTAACACTTAAGAGAAGGTAAATCCTATAAATAACTGCTCGATTTTTTTCCATTACATTTTCCTCTGCTGTTTGTATGATTATTTAAAAGGTTTTGGCAAAGACTTGTGTTTTTAGAAAGGTTTTATTTGTTTTGAAAGACAGAGTTAGAGTAGGGGGGTAAGAGAGAAGAGGTGTTAAGAGGTCTTATAATCTTTGGTTCACTTCCCAGATGACTACAACATGTGGGGCTAGGTTAGACCAAAGCAAGGGTCCAGGAACAGGGTGCTTCTTTAAGGTCTCCCATGTGAGTAGCAGGGACCCAAAGACGGGCTGTCCTACTCTGCTTCCTAAGGCACGTTTTCAGAGAGCTGGATTAGAAGTGGAGCAGCTGGGATTTGGACCAGCATCCATGTATGATACTAGCACTACAGGTGGTTACTTAACTCTTTGTGCCACAGCACAGACCCATCACTTTTTTTGTTTAAAGATTTCTTTATTTTTGTTGGGAAGACAGGTTTTATAGAGAGGAGAGGCAGAAAGATCATTAGCTGATTCATTCTTTAAATAGCTGCAATGGTAGGAGCTGAGCTGATTAGAAGCCAGGAGCTTCTTCCAGGTCTCCCATGTGAGTGCAAGGTCTCAAAGTTTTTGGGCCATCCTCTACTACTTTCTCAGGCCATAAATGGGGAGTTGGATCCGAAATGGAACAGTCAGAACACAAACTGACACCCATATGGCATACTGGTGCTTGCAGGTGGAGAATTAGCAGTTTGTCCATTGCTGCAGCTCCAACAAACCCAGCACTTTTTGAGGAGATTAGTAGAGGGCCATATTTGTAGAAGCACTTTATTTTTATGTGCAACAAGTCGATTAAGTCAGTGAACACTTATGAGTTGCGTTATAAATGACACTGTCCTAGCTGTGAAAATAAGAAAGACATTACTGTTTATACTCCCCAGGAGCCAGAATAACTATGAGAATAATAATATAGCATACTTTATACATAATTGTATATCATACTGTATATATAGTAAGCTTGGTTAATGCTATGGGAAAGATGTCAACTGCTGCAAGAGACCAAAAGAAGTTTTGACTAGTATCAAAAAGAAAATCTTATGAAGGAGTTGGTAATTAAGTGAAGCATTGAATGATGGGTAGAGTTTTGAAAATTGTGGTAGGGAAGGATGTTCTGGGGTGAGGGAATGGTGGGGGTGCACATCTGGAGGTGGGTGAGGGTGGGCGCCTTCAGAGATGGGTGGGTAGTTTCATTTGGATACGGCAACATTTCTGCAGTTGAGGTAGTCCATGGATTGATTTGCAGGGGCTGTAAAACATATGTCTGAAAACCTTGCTTTCATTTTGGTTGTAAATTAAAAATCATTTTAGCAGTATATAATTCACCCAAAAAGAATGCATTCTTACTGATCAGTATTCACTTTCTTAAATTGGGTTTTTTCATATGAGGATCCTTGGATATGATTTTGAGAGTCACTGAGAAAATGTTCTCCATGTTCAAAGGACTCTGCAATATTTGGGAGACACTGGGGTAAGAATGAGATATCCAGAGCTGAGGTTAGAAAAACCAAATTATAAAGGACCTTGATGCCACCCTGGGGGCCATACTTCCCACACTGGACAGTCAGAAGCCATGTAGGCACTTTATCTGTGGAATAGTAGTGTCAGACTTATGCTAGGTACACTGCTAATGGCGGCATATGGTACTGATTTCACAGAGTCGTGGTTAGTCATTCTTGCAATTTGCTTATTCATTCATTTGTTCAGTGAACATCACTCCTTATGTGCCAATCTCTGCAGGGCTTTGGGAATGCAGCAGGGAATGAAATGAAGAAAACTCCCAACCTCACGGAGTTTGCATTCCCATTAAGGAGACTGCAATAAACTAGATAAATAAGTATGGTATGTGTCTATGGATAGTAAGGAAAAATAATGTAGGGTAGAAAGACCTGAAATGTCAAGGATGGGATGGTGAGATATCAGAAACAAAGCTCTTCTGGGAACATGACCTTCTAGGCTAAAGACCTCAAAGATGAAATGGATAGTGCAGTATCCAAGGAACCAGGCTTCCACGCATAGAGAACCAAAAGAGTTAAAGAGTGGAAGGGGAAGTATCCCCCAACTGCCCCCAACAGGGAGACTGACACCACTGGAGCTCAGTGACTTTGTGGGAACAAGTGGAAGGAAGTAAGACCAGAGCAGCTACAGGAAGGTAGGAGGGTGCAACCACAACTTTGAACACTTTGTCAACTCCATATAAGGACCTCAGAACTCCAAAAGTTAGTGGTTGGGAAGGTGAAGAGTTCCCTGGCCAGAGGGCACCCTACTGAGGATAGACCAGAGCCAGAGGTCACAGGTCTGAGCAAGGGGATGAGCTGGGAAGCCAATATGATAAGGCAAGAGATGATGGAGGCTTGGGCCATAGTAGTGGCAGCACGAAGTCAGCTTCTGATTGTGTTCTGAAAGCCCTGCTGCAAGGACTCCTTGTGTAGAAAGCTGTGCACCTGGAAAGGACGTTGCAGACAGGAGAGAGAGATTAGGGGTGGTACAATCGGGGTTTTGCTCTAGAAGTGGAACTCATTGCTTCCACTAGCAGAAAAGGGGACTGCAGGAAGAGGGGTAGTAGATTTTAGCTACAAGATGTTGACTTTCGTTTGGAACAGAATTTTCAAAATGTGAATTTACAAAATGTGTTCCCTTTCCAGAGTTTTTTTAGGCTTTGTACAAGTGTGTCATATTTTGAGGGAAATATAAAAAAATCATTGGATTCCCATGGAAAATGATTGGCATTTCTGTTTCTATGCATTAGGTTTTAAAATGTGAATTTTACTGTTGTGTTTGAAGTGCTCTTCATTCCTCAGATCCACAGGTATCTATCCACATTTTAAAATATATATTTCAGTGCAAGCTTAAATTTAACAATTAATTCTATAAAAATGCCTATTAATATTTTTGTTGTCTTTATTTTGTCCATCTGTTCTATTATTACTCTCCAGTCTTAAATCCCTTTATACCCTTTCCTGATATAAAATTCTAGGAATAGTAGACTTGATTCTCCATCTTTTTTTTTTTTTTTGTCTTTTTAAAAAAATTTTTACACCTTTTTGACTCCCCATCTTGAGGGAGATAGTAGTATAAAGAAAAAATATGACTCATAAAGAAATGCAGGACAGGTAAGGAAATAACATAAAGGGTTCAGGGGAATTGAATCTTTCGTAAAAGAGAATGGTATAAATTGAATTTTCAGTCTTACACGTTCATCTATGAAGAATTTAGGAGTATTGTCCTAGTGAAACAAAAGTTTATTTTATATCCATACAGTATCTCTTTTGAGCAGTGTTATTAACAGTACACTCTGCAGCTGTTAAAATGAAAATACTACAGTTAAAACATGTGAAGCTTCAGCCCCCATTCAACATTTCAGTGATCCACATTTGGCCGTCAGTGAAGCAAACACCGCAGGGTGTGTGTGTGTGTATTGTATTCATATGTGTGTGTGTATTTGTCTCTCTATATATGTGTGTATGTATGTATGTGTCTCTCTATAGATATAAATATAGATATTTAGATATAAATATAAATATCTGTCTATATCTATATATATGGAGAGAGAGAAATATCTATATCTATATATATATGGAGAGAGAGAGAGAAGGAGAGAGAGAGAAGGAGAGAGATCTTCCATCTGCTGGTTCATTCTCCTGATGCCTGCAAAGGCCAGAGCTGGGCCAGGTCAAAAGCAGCAACAGAGCTTCAGCTGGTCTTCCAAGTGAGTGACAGGGCCTTCTACTGCTTTTCCTGGAGTATTATCAGGGAGCTGGATCAGAAGTGGAGTGGCTGGAACAGGAACCAGTGTCCATATGAGATACCAGTGTCACAGGTGGCAGTTTTTCTCACTACACCATGACACCTGCCTTACAATGTGTGTTTTTGTGCCCATTTTACTTGGAGTTTTTTAAACTTGTGACTCTGCCATCAGGATTGTTGTCCCTGCACTCCGACCTTAGCACTCAAGCTAGCTTCGTGACAAGCTTTTCCTAATAGTGTCCTGCCTCTCTTTAGTCCCAGTGAAAATAAAGGGGAAATATAGTTTTGCCACATTTCTTTTATTAATGTGGCAGATAAGGAATAGGATAAAAATTTGTTAATTATTTTTCAATGAAAATTGTGGAGAGCAGAGCCGTGCCTCAAAGATGACGCTTGTGATCATTGCTTCATGGTGCAGAGATGGTAAACAGGTTTTGGGAAGTTACTGAGGATTGGGCCGAGCACACATGGAAACTGCGTGATGCACACGTGATCAGAGTCATGATTGGTGTGCTTGCCGCATGATGTGAGGAGCTGTATACGGATTGGTTTGTGTTATGCATAAAAACTGTAGGTAATAATAGAACGGGAGATCCCCTTATGCGCGAGCTAAGCGCTATGTTGTAACTGCTTTCGCTTTGCCGCTACGCTTGAAGTCTTATGTAATAAACTTTATAAAGAGTCTATACTGTGTCGGAGTCTTGCTCGCAGGGTGAGGGACCCCGATAGAAAAGAAAAAAAGTTATACTAAAAAATGACTTTGTTCTGTAGTGATGAAAACCATTATTCCAGCAGAGACAATGTCCAGTCTACAGGGCATATAAGACCTATGAAATCTTTTAGTCTGACCCTGCCAAGGCATCCACAGGCAGGATTTAAAATTCAATAAATGTATAGTTCCTTAATTTTCAAGTTGTATGGTCTGCAAATGATGCTATAAACATCCAAATAGCTCTTGGCAAAAGAAAGATTTCCTACCCATGTTCATGTGAAGTTTTATACTGCATGTCTAGAAAAACACATTAGACTTCAGGAGGGTGAACTTTTATTAAGTTACATCTGCTTTTAGTCATTGGTGTATCCAGTAATTCTTGTAACATATTACATATTGCCTTCCTAGTCAGAGTAATTTTATTAATGTTAGCAATAACATTAATAACATTTTAGGTAAATAGCATGATTATAGTAAGCATAGATTTCCTAGAGATATATTC